CTCTCTAATCTTAAATGACTCAAATAAAATTATATAAATTTTAAAATTTATATAAAATTTAATTTGAACAAATTATATAAATTTGTTCAACAGAAAAGAGATGTAAGTTGCTAACTTTAATTTTTTCACAATTTTGGTTATTTCTTTAACCCAAACTAGTACTGATTTAAAAACAACAACAGCAATAACAACTCTGAACTGTGACCCAAGAGTTGGCAAAAATCTCTAGAATTTCTACTCTCTTGAGCGATTTAATTCAGCTCAAATTTGAAAAGACATTCTAAGCTATGTGAAAAATATTTTTCAGTCACATTGACATAATTATCTGAATCTTTTTCCATTTCTGTAAGTATGTCCACAGATCATGCTCTTGGCTAAATATTGCACAGGTTTTTTTTTTTTTTTTTTTTTTTTTTAGTTGAGTCTTCTATTGTTTTTATTTTAGATATTCTGTTCAATAATTTTGAGTCACAGTCTGTGGCCCATTGGAAAATTTTGTTTCTCTTTTCTTTTTAAAAAATATTTTAAAAGCTTCTTCTTGTTCCATAATTTCATTTTTTGAATTTACCCTTGGAGTTTTCAGTTAAAAAAAAAAAGACTCAGGTACTTGAGTGATGCTGAGCAGTTGCATATAAATCCATTAGAGAACTTTTATAAGAAGAAATTTAACTTTGTATGTTAAAGTATAAATTAAAAAATCTATTTCTGGCCAAACGAATTGAGAATAATACATTCTAAAGCACAAGGGAAATATAATATTTAATTTTACAACATACAAGTCCCTTAAATGTAATATATACTTTAAACAAGTTTGGAAATATTTTCTAATTATTAGTTGATTATTCTAAGGCCTCTGAGTAGACTCTAAGCAAAACAATCTTTCCCTCTTATAAATCAAGAAATCAATTTATCTTCTCAAAGTGTTGATTTAATTCCCAGTTGATAAAGATTTCAAATGTGGAAATCTACAGCAGTTCTCATTAAAGAAAGATTTTTGATTCTTGTCCTAATTGCTGAAATTTCTGCTTGCCCAATAGGTAAATTCTGAAAATATTCTATTTTTACTTAAGCTTTCAATTAGCGCTTGCTTTCTGTACTTCAGTGACTATAAAGAATGATATTCAATAGACTTCCCATTTTCCCCAAATAAAAATTTCACAAGAAAATAATGGGTACCATTAGGAATGCATAATGAAAAGTCAAAAAAAAAAACAAAACAGCTTTACAAGGAGGGATGTTACAGTCACAGCAATATAAAGGCTAATAGATGATCAAGTTTTTTTATTATAAAGATAGGGATACAATTCAGGGTTAGGTATACAAACGTTGATTATGCAGGTACCCTTGTTGATGAGGTGAGCCCTCCCTCCCCAGCAGGTTCCCTCAACTGCCAATCCCACCCCCCCTTCCCCTGACAGTTTCCCACTACTGCCAATCCCTTTCTTGTCATATTTAGAATAAGTACCCCAGTTTCCTTTCCTCTAAATTAATTCTCAGGACTTTTCAACCTTGTGCCTTTGAATTTCTCAGTAGGAATAAGTTCCAGTTGCCCATTTTAGTAACTGGCTTTATGATGAATTATTTACTGATTCCTTTTCTTCTCTAGCTTACTTCTTCACTTATCAGTGTTTCTGGTGATCACCTTCCAAATAAACTACTTATACTAAATCCTTGTCTTTGTGTCAGTTTCTGGGGAAAACCAAACAAAGGTGCTTCAATATCTATCTATTTTATATCATCTGTTCACATCTCCTACCTATTCAGAAATATACACTACGGTCCCAACCTCCATAGCACACTGAGGGCTATGTCTACCATCTGAAAGAGCAGTCAGGTCTCCACGTTCCAAGCTCTCCCCACAACCAACACTTTCCCCTTCGATACTTATGCTCTTAACACTCTGATCTTTACTGAGAAACTGAGCAGATAAATTAGACTACGATGTTCAATTGCAGCTTATTTTTGTGGAAATAATAATGTAGGGGAATCAAAAGACCTTGTGCTAAGTTTGTCATTCACCAATTTGATGACCTCAATCAAATAACCCTTCAGACTCAAGTCTTTCAGCAATGTGTGAAAGTTGTCAGAATCAAAATGGAGTTACTAATGTTAAAAAGAAAAAAAGAAAAAGAAAAAATCTCTGACAAATAGAGCCAAGAAAAGCCCTGAAAGTAGCATTCTCATGCTTGTATGTCTTAAAAAAAACTATCACAAAACAAAAAACTCTGCAAAAACCACAACCTTGCACAAAGGCCATGGCAAACTTGCACAAAAAATACTTCTGCAAGGACATCTGCCCAGTAACTGCCTGTTCAGCCTTAAATTGGTGTTACCTTTGTTATTGATCTTTATAGCCAAGGATAATTATTTCAAAACAGTTATGTAATCCTTCTCATTTTTTTTCCCTTAAAACCTTTGTCTTTCTTTACTTCCCTAATATGCACATAGTTTACTGTGGCATGTGTATATCCATCGCAATGCTCCACTCCCAAATAAATATCTTTTTATTTTAGGAATCTCTTTCTGTTTGTTATTTAGGTTACTAAAAAATGAAGACAATAATAGTTGACTGACAACTGCAATGGGTTAAAAGGTTTAACAGTCTTTGAGAATTGGAAAATTTAGAATGAACTTAGGATGAATAAGACACCATACCATGTTCAAACAACCTTCCCATCTTAAGAGTTGCCTTCAGTGACAGTATAGTCTAATGTTTCAAAAAGTCAGAACTTCAAAGGTGGAGAGGGACTCAGATATAAGAACATTGCTGGTAGGGATAAAAACGGGTCCATCCATTCTAGAGAGGAATCTGGGAAGATTTAGTCAAATTTAGTCAAATTAGGTACATGCAAACTTTAGGATTAAACAATTTCAGTCCTAGGTATGTACTCCAGGGAAATTATCACAAAGGTCCACAAGAGGGCACATGCAGGAATGTGCGTCTCAGCAGCTGGTATAGGAAGGCATCCTGAAGAGACAAGGTCAAGGTGGGCTGTGTTGGTAGGTAGGTGGGTGGGTAAAATGTGATAGGACCCCGCCATGCAGCTGTGAGGAAACAATCCACTGGACATCTACAGAGCAATGTGCACGGAGTTTAAATGACAGTGCTGAGTGGGGAAAACAAGAAACAGAATATAAGCAATACAATTCACATTTATTAAACACATATGCAGACAAAACACTGCACACCTTCAAAACATATATGAACAAAAATATACATTAAACATGTAAGAATGTGTGCCTCCAACAGAGGATGGGAAGATAGAAATTGTTATAAACAGTAATCAATCTTGAATCAATAAGTATATACAAGAGGGGGCTTGCCCAAATGTAGGATGGCAATCTGCCGTGAGCCGGGAGTGTGATCAAGTCAGCCTTTCACACAGGTCCAAAATTATGAATTCATGAATGACTGAATAAATGATTGAGCAAACAGCTTGGTCTTAGAATCAGGTTGCTTTAGATGTTAATTCTGACTCTACCACTTACTAGCTTGATTTGCCGTTTGGAGGAGCCTCTACTCACAAACATAAAATATGAATAATAATATTACCAACTTCACAGACTCATCATGAGGGTTAAGCGAGTTTCATGTAGAGCATTTGGTGTGGTGCCTGGCTTATAACAGGAACACAGTGAATGCTAGAGATCATTATTAGTAATCTAAAGTAGGTCCGGTGCAGTGGCTCACACCTGTAATCCCAGCACTTTGGGAGGCCAAGGTGGGAGGATTGCTTGAGCCCAGGAGTTCGAGAGCAGCCTGGAAAACATAGCAGGACCTCTTCTCCACACACATACACACACAAATGCACAAAAAATAAAAATTAAAAAAACTAGCTGGGCATGGTGGCATAGTCCCAGCTACTCAAGAGGTTGAGGCGGAAGGAGTGCCTGAGACCAGGAGGCTGCGGCTATGGTGAGCTGTGATCGTACCACACTCCAGCCTGTGTGACAGAGCGCAACCCCAGCTCAGAAAACTAAAATTAAATTAAATTTAAAAAATAAAATAAAGTAGTGATTTACATGACTTAACAGGTTGATGGAGAAGTAGATATTGTCTGGGGGAAGAAAGATGAGGAGAGAGCGTCTCTGAGGCTCTGCTGGCTACTCTAACACCAACAGAGGAGATGATAACTTTTTATTTACAGTTGCCAACTGATGGCTGATAATGGCGCATTCTAAAGTAACTGCTAGAGAATAAAGGAGACTTGTTGCCCTTCAAAGTAGAGAAGTAACTCTCCCCTCTTTTCCCTGGGATGGGGTGACGAAGCAGTGGTTGGAGGGAGCTGTGGCTCAGAGCTGGCTCCAGAGGGCATATGGGCTGGATTCAAGGGCAAGTTAAGCAGGCTTTACTAAGGCTCCTTTGCCACCAGGAGTTCACTATCAAGAACCGCTGTGGATTCTTCCCTAATGTGTGTGGTCCTAGGTTTCCCAGATCAGCAGAAGAAGGAAACCACTTACAGGAGGCTAGGACAGACTCTGAGAAATGACAACTGGGAAACAAACGGAACATAAACAATATGGTGAACACACCATGAGCCTCTGGAGGGTTCCCAGGACTGTCATTCACAGTTTTGGTTTGTTCTATGGTCCTACTGCTCCTGAAACTATGCACATGAACTGGCTCTGAAGTAGCCCTCACAAGAATCACGTGGCATCCCCAATACTACAGTAACACAATGCTCACCATCACTGCTGTCCTGAGCTCACTGGCATACAGTCTGTCCCAGCAGCGTAGAATCCCCCCACAAAACAGGAAAATGGTATGTATTATGCAAAATACCAACTTTCTCGTGTTCAAAATCTCCTCAGTGAATTTCGGAATATCAGCATCCTCTAGAAGCAGGCAGGAATTCTTTTTTCCTTTTTTTTTTAAGTTATTGTCTTTTTCTGTTTTTCTTTACATGTAAAAAGGTGAAACAATACAGAAATAAAACCTGATTCAGTTAGTAATGTATGCATTAAATAAAACTAGTGTTGAAGAATAGTCACAGTCACTCTTCTATTTACCCATGATTCTTCTTTATTTGGCTGCTAAATATAGGGGCATGTTAGTATTGCAGTCAACTTAATAAATGGCATTAAAGGCTTGAACGGTGGTGCAAGAAGCTGTAGGTAAATCTCTCCTATGCCTGATGTTAGTAGAATACTGTGATGCTATATTACTGCAGCAAACTTTTTTTTAAATTTTGCTGCTGCACTGCAGTTCATAAAGGGAGTGCTCAATCTGAAAAAATAGAAGTTAAATCTAGCAAGTGGTTAGCACCAGCATTCCAAAAAACTTTAGCAGCCTGTGTTTTCAGCTTCTGTTCCAACTTCATTGCTGCAAAATAAGAGAAAATAGGTTGATTGAGATGAATAAATTCAGAAAAAAACACTGAAAATCATGCATAGAATAATATGCATAGAATAATAATTATGCATGAAAATTTGGGCATAGAGTATCAGATGAAAAATGGTTTGTACTGTAACAGGAACAGTTTGTTTTTAATCTCCTCAGTAGCTACTTTTCTGTTTTACAAGTAACAGCATAATAAAGACACAGCAATACCATTATATCAGACTCTGATCTCTTGACAGCTCAGCAGAGCAGTTCTGGCCTCCTCTAAGGAGCCATGATGGTTTTGAGGAGTGGGTGCAGTCTTAAGAAACAGCCCTATGTTACACCCTCACTTCTCACCCATCTACTACCTTCACTTTAGCCCTGACTGCATCATTCCTTAAAACATATCATCGAAAACAAGGAGGTAAAGTCAATAGGGATTGGATTACATCCCAGCTTTTGCAAAATGGAATATTACGAAAGACAGAGACCTCTTGATTTTCCTTCATATATAAACTATCTTGGCTTTATAATGTTGCTATGTGGTAGAGGAGTTATTCCAATAATTTCTTTATCCATTAACTCTGTGTGTGTTCCTATGTGATAGGGTTAGGTTGTCTGGAACAGATAAGATAAATTAACTGAGTGGAGGTGGGTATTAGCAACTGTGAAAGCAGATTTTACAAAAGGGAGTATAAAGGAAAGCATCAGAGGTGAGGAAAGAAGATAAATTTAGTTCTAAAGCATGATCCTGATAGAACAATTTGATGGGATGACACCAATGGAGGAAATGGCCAGAACTTTCTATTTCCAGGTGCCTATTCATAACTGATAAGAGACCATTCTTAAATGACTGGTGTAGAACAAAGGTCAGTTGCTTTTCAGTAGACAACTCGGCTTTGTTCTGGCCCTGATCATGAAGTGAAGCAGTGACATCTTAAAGCTGCCTTCAAGCTGGGAGCTATGGCTCAGAGCTGGCTTCGGTGTGCAAGAGACCAATGTGCATAGCCAAGCAGCTAAGCAGGATTGCGACACATGGATATATTCTGCATCATTAGGGGGAAGTGCATTTGTTAGACTAAAAGGAGGAGACAGAAAAAGCACTAAGACAAGCGGGTAGCTCCATTATTGCTGTAATTCGCTCTGGCCATAGAAAATCAACAGTTATAAAATTAGAAATAAGCCATAACTTTCATCATCTGAAAATCCTCAAAGCTGTAGAATGAAGAAAGGAAATGACTCAATTACCTCTCTTCCTTAATTTTTCTAACAAATAAAAACTACCATTGATAGTACTAACATTTAGTGTTAATATTACTTGACATTTAAATAAATTATCATCATTTGGATGACACTTATTAAATGCCATGTGTTTCTAAGCTAGGCACTTTACATACATTAAGGTAGACCTTTACCTTAATCCTCTGATCCCATTTTATAGAGAATGAAATTGAGGCTCAAGGATAAGCATCACATCCAAGGCTATAGTGCTCCTAATTGAAACTCAGTTTAGTTAATGTTTTCTATTTGTTTTTTGCTGTTTATCTAGTCATTTCTTAGTTGTCTTAGTCATACTAAAGCCACTGAATCTGATTTGGGAGATGGTAAATCCTCTGCCACTGGGAGAGTTTAAACAGAAGACATTTAAGCATATATGTTGTAGACAAGATTATAACATCAAATAATACAGTGGTCTAAATGGTCTATAAATTCCCTTTCAAATGTAAATTTTTATAGAGGTATGAATAATTAAATCAGATTGAAGAGGAATAGGTAGTTCATCCTCTGACACCATGCTGGCAAGTTCTGTACTATTTCTCAGGTCTTCTAAAACCATTGGCAGATCAAAGAAGTGTTTGGCACCACAATCTAGCAGCTGGTTGGAAATGACGAGTTATGCTATGACAGCTAGAGCCATCACTTTAGACACTTTGAAAAGTCTTTACTTTTCTTTGCCAATCTTATTATTAGATAAAGAGCTAGATAACTAGGTGATAGGAAAAACAAAGTTGGACATTCAAGAATGATGAAGATTATTAAGTAAATAAATAAATCCTATTTTCAGACTAGCACCCTGGCAGTTAAGTTCCGTATTTTATTGTATTGCCAACTGAACAACATACGTATAAGAACACATAAGTAAGAACTTGCACTTTGAAAATCAAAATTCTGGAATAGTGCAAAGTTGTTTTTTTTTTAATTTATAGTGCACTTTGGGTAATAAATGATGTAGTCTTGTGAAACTTTAAGCCAGTTTTACAGAGAGCATTTTTTAAATGAATGTGTAAATTGGTTTTTCATTCCCTTTTAATGTAAAACAAAGCATTCATGCCCTTTCTCGCAAAATGAAAGTAAAATTATCTACATATATTCTTGTAAATATAAAACCCGACAATGTATCCAGAAAAATCACTTCCAGAAAATGAATATCGTGATACTATTAAATGCTGCATATTCATTTTTTGAAATATTTTAAATATTGTGTACATTTATGTAACTATTAACTTTGGTGTAAAAAAAACAAGATCTGGTATGAGTTTATTATCCATAAGCCAGAAGCTATAAAACTTTCAGTAATTAATGTCTTATAAAGATAATGTGACACATAAAGAATATAGGTATAATGTATTCCAGAAAAAAACTAGAATTTGTTTTCACAAGCCACCACATAGAAAAGTACTACATCCTCCTAGTTCCTGACTTTTGTTCTGCTTTACGCTGACTCACGACAACACAAACTTTAATCTATTGAGATGACTTCAAAGAGGAGACTCCAACATTGTCAAACCTCTACCTCTTTTACAGTAGATTTAACTGAGTTCCTAGAAAAGAAAAATAAATGAGTCCCGTTTCTTTTTATTGGCTACTTCAGAGTCAGATTCTATCAGGTTTTAGTTCTCATACTTGCCAAACAAGTGTAAGAGCAAATGGAAGGGAACACAAGGGAAGAGATTTTCCTCCCTTGAACACAAAGGAAGAGATTTTCCTCCCTTCCACACCCGCGCCTTTTTTTCCCTTAGAGCATTTATTTTAGAAAACTTGTCATTGTAAGTACATTCTTCTCTCTTTGAAATGCATATAAATACTTTTGAAAACTAAGTAGGCCTTTTGTCAGATCCATGAAAGTCTTTCTCAAGGACTTGAGGACCATCTCTTTTTGAATGTAAACAACAAAGAAAGATAGCGTCCCAGTTGCTTACTTTCCAGGGAGAGTAAGACTCCAACTTTAGCTGAAGCCTGGCTCTAAGATATAAGTCCACCCTTTGTCCTAAAAATAGAAGAAGTTTATCTCTCCTTTGTGTAAAGCCAGATACAGATTTTCACCCCAATTTCCAGGTGAATTTAGGATGAACTGTGTATAATAAATGGTGCTGTCAATTTGTCTTACTTAAGGATAAATCTAATTATTGTTTATCTTGAGAACATGTCTATAATGGGTTGTATCTACTTGACTGTATGAAGAAAAGAATTCTTCCTGTCTTCGTAATTTCTTAGAAGATTGTCTCTCACGCACATCACATTTTGGTTTAATGATTATTCAATTAGAAAGAAAAGAGTTTTCTTTTTCTACCACCCTTGCAAAGAAAACTTCTGGGTTGACAGAAAGTTTTGTTGTTGGTTTTTTTTTTTTCAATTACATTTCCTCAAGTCTTACAACACAGGAAAGTTATTTTGATGAGTCAATCACTGTCAAGTCTGGGGCTAGGATGTCTTCCCTTCATGATTTCCTTTACCATTTGGTAGCCTAGACAAGATGCCTATCCACTCAGGTGCCTGTATTAGATGTCTTTATTTTTATAAGACAAATTTATACTGGCCCTGTAGCCAGTTGTCTCTCAAAGCTTGTAAATCTTCTTTTAACCAACAAATAATAATATTCAGGTTCCAAGTTGTTGTCTGATATTACAACTCTGAACTCTCAGCAATCCAAAACTTATTGAAGTTTGATTTTGAGAAATAATGCTTTTGAAAAATTGTCTGAAGAGAATAGAATAGTCTATTCTTCCTGATAATTTTATTTTTACCCTTGAATCAAACCAGTGTCTTCTATGGACAAATCACTTATTTTCTCTTTTCTATGTTCTCGTCTGGAGAATAAAATCAGAGGAATGGGATGCTAAGATTAGAACCCTAAATATCAGTGAACATTCTAAAATTCAAAATAACATGAACACAAAAAACATATATCACCAAAGTAGCAAATCAATCAAGGTCACCTTGCTAGCAGAATTGTTATCTTGCCAACCCTTACATATTTATCAAAAATCTGCAAAGGGACAGAATAAGAAAACAGAGGAAGAATTTGCCAAGGGTAGCAAAGAAAGAAAACTCTTTTGTGTGTGCATATTTTGGGGGAAGTAAGTAAATGATTAGCTTTCAAGTTGTGTTAATAAGAGGATCTGAAAGATTAGAACACATTGCATTTAACTGTGTTTTTGGAAATCAGTTGACCCTCAATTTGAAAATAAGATACAGTAGTTCCAGGGCAACACTTAGCAGGAGTTGCAAGTCCAGTTACCTCTCACTCCCCAGTATGACTTCTACAATTAAACTTGCTGAAAGAGCAGTGAGTTGTAGAGTGATTGTGGATAAAAGAGTTGCTGAATTCACAAGGTAGGATAAACACAATCAAAAGTAGTTGATGCAACTAGAATTTAATTTTCTTCTAAGTTACTCAACTCAGAATCATTTCTCTCAGACAGGGAGTATGATCTCCCAATGTGTGTGGTGTTAAATATTCACTTACTTGGAAATTACTGCATTGGTGTGAACTGTGAAGATATATGAAATGGACCTTTGAAATTTGATCAGTCAGCTGACACAATGGTCAAATTGATTATTTAGGGATTACATCTGCTTGCATCAGGGGGTTTCATCAGCGGCCAAGTATTTTAAGGGTCACATCAAGTACAAATAAAACATGTTTTTGGAATGTACTAAGCCCCCAGACTCAGCTTGCATCACATGCTGTGTCAGCCTCAGCCTAAGCAATTTTCAAAATGTGTCGAATGTCGAAAAAAAGAGAAAGTATGAGGTTTTACCAAGGACATTACAGTGACTCTCAACATAGAATAGATCTCTCACAACTAATGTACCACAAGTTCAAGCACATGTTATTCCTTTATAACATTGGACAGAAATTTGTCTGCAAGTTTTTTAGTACTTGAAAGCATTTGCTGAGCTTGGTTCTGTGGCTCAGCCTGTAATCCCTGCTGTA